GCAGCCCCCCCTCGGCAGCCTGCGGCGGCAGCAGAGCACCCCGCTTTTCGGCAAGATGCGCAGCGCCCGCTTCGGCCCCGATGACGCCGGCGATGGCACCAGTGACCCTGACGAGGACGAGGACCTACAGATCCAGGTGCCCTAGAGCCCAGGGCCAGGTGCCACCACCGCAGGGACATCCCAGGCGGTCCTCTGCCCACAAGTGCCTGTCGTCGCAGGGCCCGGCCATGCGGTTGACCCTTGTATAGATGGGGAAACTGAGTCACGGAGCAGTGGGAAGGAATTTGCCTGTGGATGCTCCCAAGCTTGCTGCCTCTGGGACAGTACCTGATGCCCCTCGACCACCGGCAGCTCCTGGGACACAGATGGGGCCACCAAAGCCAGCATCACCTGAGCGGCCCAGGAGGAGGAAGCGCAGGGCAGAGAGAGGCACCAAGCCCTGCCGCGAGCCACGTTCTCCTGCCAACTTTTTTTTTATATGGATATTATATATATGTATGTATTTGTATATGATTTTTTAATTATAAATACAGAGCTCAGAGGAGCTCAGGCTCTGGTGGTGGCTTAGTCAGCTGCTCTGTCCCCACGTGGGATCGAGGATGGAGGGGACAGGATGGGGATAGCATCGGGGAGACGCGGCATTTCTCTGCAAGCTTCACATGGGGCTGTATGTGTGGCTGCTGGTGTCACCCCGCTGCCATCGCCGCCCTCACACCTGGGGACCAGCCCAGCTCCGGGGGCAAAGCCCGTCCCCAGGCCTGTGAAGTGAGAACTGGGGGCTGCGGGGTGGCTGGTAATGCTCATGGCCATAGAGGTGCCTGCATCCACGGGGCTGCGGTGGGCAGGCAGAGGTGCTCGCATGTGTGTGCAGGGTGCTCACCCGTGGGCTCAAGGGTGCTCACCTGTGGATGCAGAGTGCTCAGCCTCGGGTTGAAGGGTCATTACCCGTGGGTTCAAGGGTGCTCACCCATGGGTGCAGAGTGCTCTCCCTGGGGAGGTGCAGGGGTGCTCACCTGTGGGTGCTGACCCCCCCAGCTCAGGCCCCTGCAGCCCAGCCCCCGCAGAGTGGGGCCTCGCGGGGCTTGGAGTAGCTCAGACACAACCTTATTAAAAATTAATATTTCAGTGAGCTAATCCTCTCACTCTGCCTTTTAATTGATTAGCTAAAAGCACGGTTCTTTGCTGCTCATGGGTTCTTTTTAATGCCCTTTTATTTCCAGCAATTATTCATTTTTTTATGGCCCAACAAACGAGGCTGCGGGGGTGGAGGTGCCTGCAGTTGCCTTCGCTGGGGGCGCTGAAAAGCTGTTTTGGGGGGCACAGAAGTGGGGACGGGGACGAGAAGACATCTGCCTGAGCCTAGGGCCAGACTGGGACAGCAGCTCGGCAAGAGGCTGCGCCGCCCGCCAGTTGCCGGGGGGCGTTCACTCGGAAGCCTAATGATGTACAGGCAGGAACCCTCTTCCAGGGCGGCCGGTTGTGGCTCTGGCTAGGCTGGGCCGGGCGAGGCCGGGCCCGGAGGGACGGAGGAGGCAGACC